CATGGGCAGAGAAGTATGGAATAGAAAATAAATACAAATGTAAGCTGTTTTGCTAATTGTTTTATAACCACAACAAACTAGTACAGAGAATGCCCTGTGCAAAACACAGTAAATTTTCAAAGATTGAGGTGTTCCCTTAGCAAAGCTGAAGATTTCAGTCTCTAGTATTTGGAATTTAGGCTGCAGTCCTTGTTTTTGGATGGATCACTGGGTGTGTGGCACAGTCCATGCTTTTAACCAGATTTGAACAGAAGAATGGCCACTTGGCCCAGGTAGAAGTAGATGAAGTGTTTGGTTTCATGTGTTAGGTAACTACCGAAGTTCCTCCCCACCATGCAGTGCCAGGTGGGGTTGTACTTCTTGTCAAACTCCTTCTTGATATGGGCTGCAATGTCCTTTTCTATGTTGTATTTCTCCAATGCCTGAGTCGCGCACTCCACTGAGTCCTGTTGCATCTCTTCAGACATGTCCGCATTTTTGATCACGGCCTTTCGTTCGCACATGGTTACTGTGTAACGGGCTGGCTGACAGTGACGGTCTCCTGGGGGAGGTGCTAGCACAGCTCAGGCTCGGCAGAAACTCTGGTCGCTACCGAAGCCGTGGCGCATCTGTAATTCATTCTTTTTAATAAAGAAGATTCTTTTTGTTTGTTTCATGATTCACAAAGTGCTTTATTCCTATGGGCAATGCAGATATACAAATAAATAATTTTTAAGAAGCTTTAAAAAATAAAAATTGTGTTTCTAAATAGAAAAGTGGTACACTTTATTGAAAGAAACTGGAAAACACTAAAATATAAAGTAAAAAATGAAAAATCCTATCACTTCAATCCTTTTATTGAGAACCACACGTTGGTATTATTTCCTTTTAACCTTCAGGAGCTGGACATGGTGACACATGCTAGTACTCCTAACTACTTGGGATGCTAAAGCAGGAGGATCATGAGTTCAAAGCCAGCCTGGGTAACATAGTGAGACCCTGTCTCTAAAATAGAAAAATAATTTTAGTGTTTGTTTTCCTTAGTTGGGCAGTTTCCTCAAGACAGGGATCTTTTTGGTCTTGCTTACTGTGTTCTCAGGACCTGGTAATTAGTTTTGTCACTTTCAGGACAGTGGTTAAGAGCTTAAGCCCTGGAAAATGGCAACACTAATGAACAAATCCAAGCTCTACTGCTCTGGTGATATTGGCAGAAACAGTTTGTTGTTGTTTCCGACCCTGAACTTTTTTTTTTTTTTTTTTTTTTTTTTGGTGACATTTTTGCTATAGGGCTCGTGCGTTCGCCAGACAGACAGAGAGAGACAGAAAGACAGAAAGCAAGAAATCACCCCCTAGGGGAGATGGGCACGCATGTACATGTGCCTGGCGTGAGTTTAAGCCACCGGGTCCGGAACTTGAACCGCAGTCGACTACGTGGGAGTCCAGCGACATAGCCATTACACTAACTGCTGGTCCCTCCAACCCTGGACTTTTGAGGATGGAGGCAGTGGAGTAACTCCAGGGGCCTAAACAATTGTCCCCTGGGGAGATGGCCTTGTCGCAATACCTTCTCTTCCTTTCCATTCTTACATTTGACATGTAAAGTACATTGATATGAGGTGTGCATAAGAGGAGTGGTGGCTCAGAGCAGCTGGAGCCTTTTCTTTCTTTCTTTCTTTCTTTCTTTCTTTCTTTCTTTCTTTCTTTCTTTCTTTCTTTCTTTCAGAATTATTGTATTTAACTTTATTTATTTTAATTTGACCAGAGAGAGAGACAGAGTGAGAGAGAGAGAGAGAGAGAGCAAGAGAAAGTGAAAAAGCAAGCCACCAGGTCTGGGACTTGAACCATGGTCGGCCATGTGGGAGTCCAGCACCCTTAACCACTATGCCACCTTCTGGCCCCGAAATATGCTCTTAAAGTTTTTTAAATTATTCATTTATTTTTACTTATATAATCATTTATTTTAATTTGACCAGAGAGACACAGAGTTGGGTGGGGAAATGAGAAAGCAAGCCACCAGGTCCAGGAGTCGAACCACAGTTGACCATGTGGGAGTCCAGCACCTCAACCACCATGCCACTCATGGCCCCTGACTTGAGCCTTTTCTACAGTTTGAGGTTTCAGCAGTTCATTATGGTATTGTTATACAGCATTTTTAAATAGCTGTATGTACCACATATATGTGCTATACACATATTATATATGCTGTGTAGTGTCATCTGTAAACTAAGAAACGGATACGTATGTAACAGGGACCTGAAAAGCTACTGTTCCCTCCTGTGTACTGTTGACTCCAGATAATCTGTTCTCCTTTTTCGGTTCTGTCATTGCCGTTTCAGATATTACAAAGAGTCACCATTTTCGCCTACGATTTTGCTCATTTTCTTATTCCTAATTCATTCTGAAAGAAAATGGTATTACAAAACTTCATGTTTTGACAAGCAATGTTTTCTTAATATATTTAGTTTTAAAGATTCGGGATTAAAAAATATTTGAACAGTTATGGTATAAAGAGTTGGAAGCAATTATGCACTGTTTCCATGATCGCAAAACGCGAAACTTTTATTTATGTAGGGATCTGTCAAGGACGATCTGGTTGTCTTTTGAATCTTTAGTAGTTTTTTGTAGAACCAGCAGGTGTTGAGGTGGTTAAGATGAAGGACTCCCACATGGCTGACGGCACTTGGAGTCCCAGACCTGACACACCCTACTTTCTCTCTCTTTCTCCCTCTCTCTCTCTCTCTCGTGAGCACACGTGCCCTGTAGCAAATTTAAAAATAATAATAATAAAATTTAAATAATTATTTTAAAAATGGTTATTGTGCTTGTTTATTTTGAGAGCGATAGAAGCAAGAATACCTTACATGTAAAAAGAAATAATAAAATAAAATACTCAGAGGGTCTTGTCACTCCGTGATGTTTCCCCCACCTTTTCCAGCCAGCCGGGACATGGGCGTGGGGGTGTATTCAGGTTGACCTGCGATCCAAACCTGGGCTAACCATGTAGCTCTAGTATGGCACAGCAGTCCTGTACCGCCTGTGTAACTGCACTGGCCCTTCAGGAACTTATTAGACATTAATTCAGCAAACAGATTTAGAGGTGAGGATTGAAAGAAAAACGGAAATATTGTGGCTGCTGTTGAGGAGCTTTACAGTGTACTAGAAATAAGACAGATAAGTGAGTGGTTCTCCGTCTTTGTGTCCATGAAAATCAGCTCATAGGTGTTCAAATACAAGTTCTTTGACTCAAGATTTTGTTTTCTACTACTTTCTCTCTCTTTCTCCCTCTCTCTCTCTCTCTCGTGAGCACACGTGCCCTGTAGCAAATTTAAAAATAATAATAATAAAATTTAAATAATTATTTTAAAAATGGTTATTGTGCTTGTTTATTTTGAGAGCGATAGAAGCAAGAATACCTTACATGTAAAAAGAAATAATAAAATAAAATACTCAGAGGGTCTTGTCACTCCGTGATGTTTCCCCCACCTTTTCCAGCCAGCCGGGACATGGGCGTGGGGGTGTATTCAGGTTGACCTGCGATCCAAACCTGGGCTAACCATGTAGCTCTAGTATGGCACAGCAGTCCTGTACCGCCTGTGTAACTGCACTGGCCCTTCAGGAACTTATTAGACATTAATTCAGCAAACAGATTTAGAGGTGAGGATTGAAAGAAAAACGGAAATATTGTGGCTGCTGTTGAGGAGCTTTACAGTGTACTAGAAATAAGACAGATAAGTGAGTGGTTCTCCGTCTTTGTGTCCATGAAAATCAGCTCATAGGTGTTCAAATACAAGTTCTTTGACTCAAGATTTTGTTTTCTACATCTGGAGAAGAAAGTCACCATTTGACATGTTAAATAAGCAACCCAGTGCATGCTGGTGAGTGGTCTGTGGGCCTTACCTGAGAAGCCCCAGGGCACACGGATTATGGACGATAGCATCTGTACTTGAAGGAGGCCTGTATGCGGCATGAGAGAGATGTGAGGAAGAAATGACTGTACCTAGACAGTAACTGAATTTTCAAGAATTAGGAAGATACGATGGATTGGGGCAGTTTTTCTGTTTGTTTTCCAGCACAGTTTAGCTTCTGCTAAACCTTTTAAGTTCTTATTCGGATGCGTTGCCTTTGAATACAATCAGTTATAAACTGTTCTTCTGGTGCTTCCAAACTTTCAGGCCACAAAGGCGGGCGCAGCATCTATGATCCACTACATGGTTCTGATATCAGCTCGCTTGGTGCTACTCACTTTGTGTGGATGGGTACTTTGTTGGACCCTCGTCAATCTTTTTCGAAGCCATTCAATCCTCAACCTCCTTTTCCTTGGCTACCCGTGAGTATTCCAGTTTGACTTTATTAGGAAATCTTCAGAAGTTATTTGAATTGTGCAAATGAGGGAGAAAATGAAAATTGTACACCAGGAGTTTATAAAATTGCTAAATCAGTTTATAAGTTTATAGAATTGTTAAGTCAGTGGTACTGACCATATCATTTGTTGTTGGTGTCCGCCCCAGGGCTTTGGTCTGGCTGAATCATGATCGGGGGCTGCTGGTGAGGAAGAGAAAGAGGACAAGAAAGAGAAAGCCCTCCATCTTGCCAGGACAGGGGAATTGGAAAGAATGAGACAAAGGAATAGAGTAGAAATGGACACCAGCAGCCTGAGCCTAGGTAGCCCAAACAACTTGTGCCGCCCAGATGAACTGGATGTCTTTATTTATAGTACAAGGAGACATTACACATGCATGTTTCACGACACTTCATAGATTGGTTGCCAGGTTACAGACAATAAGAAGCAGTTAACAAATCTATGAGGGCTTAAGTCACACCAGGCCAGGTGCATCCCTTGGTGATAATCCCATCAAGAGAAAATCTCATCTTCTTTTCTAATGCAGAGAGAACTAGCTGTTAGGTGTGGGGAAGGAGCAACTTCTCCATAAGGAGTGCACCACCACACCCAGAGAAGGCTAAAGAACCTTTCAGATGCAGAGCAGGGATTGGATTTTACTAATTGGGATCAAGATGTGTCTTGAAGTCCATGGGATGTGTCTGTTGGAACGCCCCTAGTAATTTCCACCCTGATCTGTCTGCAGCCAAGGTCAGGGAAAGACAAGTTACAAGGTTCTGCCAAACTCCAAAAGAGCAGGTGGTGTTTGCTCAGAGCATGTCCCCGTACCTCAGATTCTCTCTCTTAAACGTGTCCCCACAATTTGTTTTCTAAAACGGGGTACAAGTGAGACAGCAGGCATGGACAGGACTATCCTGGGAAGCCTGGACTATGGATACCCTGCGAGTGGGGAATTTTTCAGTGAGCTCTGTTCACCACGTAAAGGACTTACGTCAGGGGAAATGGTGCTTAATACTAGTCAGATGAACTTGCTAACTCCGTCTTACCCTTGGTTGGTAATTCGGTTGGTTGGTCAGATTTGATCTTGGGTTCATGTAATAGCAGTAATGGTCATTTCAAGCCTTAGAGACAAGACAGATACGCAAACATGCACATAGGTATTTTAAACTGACATTTTATAGAAACTTTGTTTTTAAAGAA